ACTATTAACAAATTAAGTGGTGTTAACACTAACTGGTGTGATTTCGTAAAGCTGTAATTTTATAGATAAATATATATACACTTTACATTATTAATACTAACTCTAAATTAAAAATTATAAATATTAATAAAGTAATTTAACTATATAGTAGTTAAATTAGTTATATATATTTAATAAAATACAGTATATAACTTGTTTTCAAATATTTAAATACTGTAAACCAAATTAAGGGTAGTTTATTCTTAAAAGTAAAAAATGCTACGTAATTAATCGATCAATTAATTAATTAATATTTAAAATTACATATGTAAATATTAAATTAAAACAAAGCTATATGTATTAATTAAGTAATTAGTTAATTTAAAAGATATTAATATACGTACAATATTATTGCTAATAATAAATATATATTTATCTGTTATAAAAAAAAATATACAGTACGTACTGTATTTTAGTTTATTAAAAGGTATTAAATAAAAAACACTCATCTTGGTTAGAAAAAATTATAAATTGTTTAGTAGAAAAACCGAGAAATTAAAATGCGGTAATAGTAATACGTATGTATACGTCGTATATTAATTTATCAACTTTTGTTGAAATAAATTTTATTAAAACGCACCTATGACGTTTTACACCTATGCATATATTATCTCAAAAACTGGCTATTTAATCGCTGCGTGGTGTCTTAAGTAAAAATGGTCTACGCCCTCAAAAACCAAACCAATCCTAACTCTAACCCTCAAAAATTTTTATACGTATATAAAACTTGGAAAAATCAAAAAAAAATATAATATAAAAAGTATATAATACCATAGGTGCGTTTTATAATAAATATAGTTTTTAATATATACGTACAAGATTAGTCAATTACTAGAAACAGAAAACAGAATTTAGAACTTGGAACTAAACTTTCAGAGGCGTTACAACCTTCTAAAAATAAAAATCGATTATCCTGACATAGAATCCAAACACATACGACTTCTGGACTTGATATACTAATAATTAAAAAATAGTGGAAATGAAATTTTTACCTGTAATAAAAACCTGTTCCCTATCTCCTAACACCCTAATACGTATCATAAATTTCACCTTTTAGGCACAAATAAACAAATTCCAATGAAACTAAAATTTTGATATTAAAAACGTAATTTGGATTTAGGTTACCGAACAAGAACAGCTAAAAGCCGGGTTAGTGGGTCACTTTTAAAATTTTAAAATTCATATGAGAGTTAATTGATCGACTCGCATGGTTATAAATTTCAAACTAATACGTATTGTATAGCATATATTGTATGGATTAAAATATCCGAGAGGTTTCATATGAAAACATAGTATTCAATATATTCGATAGACAGTAATATTCTGATACGTACATTGTTTAGATTATTGGATTTTTGACATACGTATATCATCTGGGGTATTAAGTAGGATAATTACGGTAATGTTGGAATGGATTAACCAAAAACTTGATACAAATAATTATGATGTAATTAATTATTATATAATAATAAAACTTTGAAACTACCAGTTTATAATTAAGTTTATAATTAAAATTGTAAAATATACAAAAACTACGTACATATTATTTGTTTAATCTATATGTAGTTAAACAATAACGGTACATATGGAAACAGCCCATGGTTATAATACCTATTTACAATTAGGTAATGTTTGTTGTCCATCAAAATTTGTATAATTCATGATTTCCGCAATCTTTTCACAAGTTTTTTTTTTTCATGAAAACAAGGGTCCAAAAGCAAGGATTTTTCCGGATAATTCTCGAATTTGTGGATGAAATACCGGTCAGTTATCAACAAGCCTTAAAACTGGATAAATTGCAGAGATAGAAAACTGATCGCTGATCATTAAAAAAAAAAATTGGCGTATTGATAGAACAAATAAAGAAAGTAGAGAAAGTAAAAAAAAAACGCATTTATAAAAATGGGGAATAGGTGCATAAATGTGTATAAATGCATATAAATGCGCATAAATACGTATAAATGCATATAAATACGTATAAATGCGTATAAATACGTATAAATGCGTAAATGCGTAAATGCGTTTAAAAAAAAAAATCAATACGTATCAATGTATCAATATTGAATATTGAATATTGAATATTGATCGATATTGATACGTACATACTTAATGTACTGTATGTATGTATGTAGGATAACTACGTACGTAGTATTTAATTACACATTTAATATAACATACTTATCAGTGATAATCTTACAAACATTTAGAAATTTAGAAATTTAGAAATTGTAACGGTAACGTTTAATGAATCATCATGCTTTTTTGTTATCAGTTTGATTATCTTATTTATCTTATTTATCTTAATTGTATTAATTATATTTGTATATTAATTGTATATAAAACTAATAATGTCTCCTTTTTGCTATTTTTGATATCATCATGTGCAAGTATTATGGTGAATTATGAGACACAATCCATTTTAATTATCTATTTACCCCGCGTTGTTTAAAAATATCATTTAAAAGGAACACATTGACTTTTAAAGTTAGTTTTTGTTCCTGAATAACGTAAATATCATAAATAGGAATTTAAATGATTTTATTAATAAAATAAAAAATTGTCAAGGACAATTCTCGAATTTTGAGTGTATACGTAACCAGTAATAAGTTGCTTAAATCAATCTTTTTTTTATATATATCGCTAATTTTTAATGCAAGCAAGATAAATTCTTTTAACAAAAGTGCGACTTGAACTCAGTATACGGAACGAAGGTAGGTAACTCAAGATATCAATAAAAAAAAAAAAAAAAAATTAATAATAATAATAATCTCCCCAACAATTATGTACTAGTTAATTTATCTAACCATATATTTTATTTATTTATATGGGCGTATTCATTCACTTTTTGAGGTTATGTTGATGTGACATTAACATTCTTTTTGTCAATGATCACTTTAATCACTTGATATTTTTAACAAATATTTTATAAATATTTACTATGTTGTCCAGCCACCATGTTAGAAAGTTACACTCTACCCAAAATATTCTTTTGTCTTTTTCCAGTTCTTGCTTTCTGTTCTCCCGAAACCAGAATTTCATCATAAACCCACCATCTCCTTATTGATATATATGTATATATTTATATAGATATATATATATATTTATATGTATTCGTATCAATAAATTATCATTATCCTTATTTTTTTTTATTTTATTTTATTTTTTTTTTTTGTCGTTAAAAATTTTGTGCTTAGAATGTCTTCCAGCATTGATAAACCTGCGGTGGATTATGATGTGAATAAGGTTACTGGTGGAGCCAGCGAACCTTTAAAAATTCTTGCCGTTTCACCTAATAATGTTTCCCTAAATGGTGAACCATTTCATGATAATATTTCTAGGACTGATTCATTATCTCAAAAATTTCCCCTATTAACCGAAACACCGCTGATTAAAATCTCGGATTGTGAGAATGAAGATGAAAATAAAAATAAAGTTGAAATCGTGAATTCTTCAATTCTTAATAGTGTGAGTCTTGTAAATAAGACTCATTCCGACTTGGCTATTGCCATATCGAATATCACAACTGTTTCAAGAATTGGTCTGGACCTTGCTAGTTTCATGTCACAGTTTGCCTTGGGAACTGCAAAGATATCTACTAGCTTAGGATTAGATATTGCAAGAACTATGACCGGTGTCGTGTCTGATAGGATTGTCCAAGCAACTAACGGAAATGGAGGGTAAAAATCTCAATTCTAATTTATTTTTGTTCTTTATATTTGGATTTTATTTTATTTTATTTTATTTTTTCTTTTTTTGTTATATATATAAATATAAATTTATTTATTTATCTTTTTTTTTATGGTTTATTGATATTTTCACCCTTTGTTATTGATTTTTGAAGATTATTTTTTATTCCTAGAATAATTGATGCTTCAACGACATTATTGCACCGCACACTATCTTTAACAGAACAAATCGCGCTATCCGGTCTAGAATTCACTTCCGAAACGGTGCAACTTGCCTTAGGAACTGCCACTGAAAGTATGTCTTTAATAGATACTTTATTTGGAACAACTGATGCTGCAAAAGCTTTGGCCGAATTCGTTCAACTTGTTAAACGTGAATGGGATTATCTATATGAAACTGATGATAAACTCACTGAACCTGATGATTTCGGTGCTTTTAAGGTTGTTAAAGCCCTTACCGCCTGGGCTTGTCTACAATACGTTACCAGCGAAATATTTGAAAGAAACACCGGTGGTTGGAAAAAAGTTAAATTGATCGGCTTATGGGACATTTGCAATGATTGGGTTCATGTTAGTCATGATGATGATTTTTCTGTGTATGATGAATTGGAATCTTTATGTATTCAAGAAGAAGCTGATGATGAAATGGTGATCGTTGGTCAAAGTAAACCTTCTAAATCAAATAATATAGTTGTTGGTGATCTAACTCCTCGTGATGAATTACCTGATTTTAAATTTACTTTGAATGACGAATACACAACAAACGCAACAAAAAGGTTAAGTGATCTTTTCATGGAAACTACGAAAAGATATAGTAATCCTTACCTTCAAGAATTCGAAACTCAAACTAAAAAAGAGAAATTATTCTCTCTTTTACATAATCTCAAGAGATATTCTAAATTCTCTTCTTCTGCTTATGATTTTAAGAATGCCATATTTGGAACAATACCATTACCTGTTCCTCGTTCAAAAGAAAAGGGTCGATACCATCGGTTTAATTTTGCTCGTTCTGCTGAATTATCATCTGATTCTATTGTTGATTCTTCATTTCATAAATGTTCAAAAAATGGTTCTTATCAACCTACTTATTATTTAATTCGTGATCATACTACAAGATCAATCATCTTGGCTTTACGTGGGACAATGTCTGTTCATGATTTAATTGTTGATCTAACTTGTGAATATGAGGATTTCCAACTTCCTGAAGATATTCAACGTGGTGAT